TAGTCTAATAATAATGTATTTGTAATTTATTAAATAAAGTACGCCATTTCGCGTTTTAAAAAAAAAAAAAAAAAAAATTACAATTAGGTTTGAGAATTGTGGAAGATATGAGAGGAATTAATAAGTAGTATTTAAACTATATAAAATATCAACATAATACTTAGCTTTAGTGCCCAAAATAAGAGAGTAGAACAAAAGCTTCTAATAAATTATACCTTCCCAAATTGTAAACCTCAAAAATAAAGGCACAAATTAGTAAATGTATATTGGTGTAGTACTCTGCAAGATCAAATCAAATTTTGAATTTGAATCAAATATTTGATTTTGCAAAGTACTATACAGTGTAATATTGACTTTCTAAAATTCTGAAATCATTAACATAATCCTGATTTTGAAATCTGTTAATGCTAAACTCTCCAATCTTTAAACATAACCTTAGATTAACACATTTGTGGATTCAAGAAAAGTGCCAACATGTTATCCTTTGCTTCACAAAGGATAGTTGATGCTTTTGCTACAGCTGTTGTCTACACTCTAGCATTTTCTTTTACTATAGCTAAGAAAACATTGTTTTACCCTAATTCTAACCTTCGATAGATAACATTATTTGTGGATTTATGAAAATTATCAATTTGTTATTCTTTGCTTTGCAAAGGATAGTTGATGCTTCCACTACAGCTGTTACCTCCACTCTAGTATTTTTTTTTACTATAGCTCAGGAAACAAGACTTTTGTATTGTTCACACTAACTCTAACCTTTGATGGATAACATGATTAAAGCCATGATGAAATATAAATCAAATGATTCAATCTGGTGCTTAATAATTATATATTGAAATCATATACTATAAATTCCTAATGATAAAATTTGATACAATATCACAAATTTAACAACGATATTTAGAATATAAACTGCATACAATCTAGAATATTATACAAATTTGCTATTAAAGTCAACATGGATTTTAAACAAATCATTGTTCAAAGTCATACAATATAAAAACAAAAGAATATTTAATTAAATATGTTAAAAATGTCATGATACATTTTCAAATTAGCAGACTTCCCTAATCACATTAATGTTTTCTTTACAAGTTACACGATTATGGCCTTTGTGTCCACAATTCCTACATGTCTTTCTATAATCCTTAGTTGTAATATTTGGTTCTGAGATATCATTGTTATCATTAAGATTAACATCAACTGATTGTAATGCACCAGTTCAATTTAATTTTTTGTTTTGAATTTTCAGAGAACTTTTGAATTGTCCTGCTGGCCTGCCCTTTCTTGCTGTTGTTATTGAACGATTTATTATTATTTTTCTATTATTAGTTATTATTATTATTACTATATTATTATTATTATTTAGTATTAGTTA